TGGTTTATCTGATTTGATTTTATGAGTAGTTTTGATTATTTTATAAGGAATGTTTTTAGTAACAGCTTTGAAAAGTGCTTTAAGTATTTTATTCCAAACTAGATTAAGTTTATTTTGGTTTGTAATATTTGATATTTTAGTTTGGAGTTTTGCAAGGCTTTGTGATATTTTGTTTAAGTAGTTTTTCAGGTTTTTCTTAGAATAGTTTTTCCAAAGAAAGTTTTTTCTTGTATGTTGTTTGGTAAGTTTTGTTTTATTAATAGTTATAGATATATCGAGAGTAATGATTTTGTGATCTGATTCAGATGAGATATTCTCAAGAATATCAGTATAATCAATTTAAGATATGCTTAAATTTGTTTATATTTGGTCAATTCTACTGTTTGATATTGAGTAAGTAAAAGTAAAGTTGTAAGTTAAAGGAAGAAAAGTCAGTATATATCTTTGAATTAATGACTAATTATATATTTAAGAATTTGAGATTCTGAAATAAAAGTGTTTTTAGGAGAATTTTTATCCAAGCATGGATTAGGAATACTATTAAAATTACCAAGTATTATTAGTTGATAGTTGGAGTTGTTACAAAGTTGGATAATTTGTTTTTAGATTTCAGAACATAATTGTTTTTTCTCTATTGTTAGAAGATAAATTTGGAGAATAAGAATAGAATTGTGTTTGAAATGTAAATTAAGACCAATTATATGATCATTATAGTTGTGTGTTCTAGCTATATATTTGGAAATTCTATTATGTATAAAAATTCCAACATCTCTTAATGGGAATTTTTATAAGAACTCCAGAAGTTGTTATAGTTTTGAAGATCTTTGTTAATATATTTCTCTTCTTTTGAAGTTAGGTTTGTTTCTGATAATCCAAAGATATCAAAATTGTATTAGTTGATTATGTTAATAAGTGAAAGTTTTTTTGATTGTTGAAGTAAACCATTAATGTTTAGAAAACCAATTTTATAAAAATTGAGATAACAGGTGAAAGAGTTGTTTGTAAAAAGGGTATATTATTAGTAGTTAAAGAATTAAAGTTATGTAAATTAGGAATAATAGAATTTGAATTATTATTATTATGTGTATTAAAGAAAATACTATCCAAAATAGTATAAGGAGTTGAGTATCTGAAATATAATTTAATGAAAAGGTTATTATATAGATAATAATGTGAATTTGGGAGAAGTGTGAAATTAGGTAGAAGTTTATATTTTAAATTTTTATAGATATATGTTTCAATAAGTGTATTATTAATAGAAATTTTAAAAGGTTTGTTAAAGGAGTTATTTTTTAGATATTGAATAAAAGATAGTAGTGTTTGTTTAGATGGTAAGGTTGAGAGATTATGATTAATTAGAAAGATATTGTAGCAAGAGAGGTTCTTGGAATTAGATAAAGAATTGGAATCCAAGGAATAGTAAGATGTTTCTGCAAAGTTACTCATCGTTTTAAGCTCAACTCACATAGCTGCAAAAGATACTGTAGTCTTTTTAGTATGTTGGGCCTGATCATCATTAACCTAGTCTTCCATGTAAATAGGCTTTACTGCCCACCTACTTACATAATTCTCTTCTAAAAATGGCCTACTGTTTGTAGATTACATCATAATTTTAAAGATGACAACTGCTTTAATGTTATTTGTAGAAAGATTTATTGAAAAGGAGATTGAGAGGTAATAGGTTTAAAAAGGTCAAAGTCATTAATTTTTTTAGGAATAATATATTTGAATTCTTTAACAATAAGAAATTCAGCTTGAGGATAATAGTCTTTATTGTATTTTTTTTCAGATAAAAGAAATAGAATAATTTGTACTACTTTGTTTAAGTATTTCAAAGTAGATAATAATTCTGACTAAAAAATGAATGTCTGTAATTTGAGTTGTAGCTTTTTTAATAGCTTGGTCATAGCTTAAATTAAAAATTTTATCATTTTGAGCTGCTGCTTGAAGAAAAGCTTTAAAGTATTCATAAAAGTAGTAGGTTTGATGATTAATATTATGATTAGTTTTGTTAATTTCTATAAATTGTTTTTTAGCAGAATCAGCAAGTTCATGAAAAAATTTAATTGAATTGGAATTTTGAATGAGGCTGGATGTTCATTATCTTTGTGAAAAATGAAAAGTCTAAGGTAGGATGAGTCTATGCTAGTTGATTAGACCTAATAGATGGACTTGATTTGTCAGAGACAGGAATAGAAAATTTTTTGAAAGATTTATCAAAATAATATATAGAAAGGTTTTGAAAATTATGTTTAGTATCAGATAGAAGAACTGTACATTTGTATTTATTAGAGTTTTTGCAAGTATAAAAAAACATGAAAAAAAGCAAGTTTTCTAACTAATAGAGTGTGCTCTTAAAGAGATGTAATAGATTTAATAATAAAGGATTGAAGTAATAGCTTTTTATGCTCTTCAGTATATTTAGTTATAGTTTAATATTTAAGAAAGTTAAGAACTTTGGTTTTGATGATGTTTGAAGAATGATATTTATAAATTTCAAAGAATTTATCAAACCAATTTTCAAGAATTACTCTATGTGGTTTAAAAGAAAGTATTTGAAAAAAATTTTTAAATTTTTTAGTATTAATGTTAAAAGAAATATTAATATTTAACTTTTCATTATTTTGTATTTGAAAAGAAGCTTTGTTGATTAAATTATAACTAATATTATAATATAAAGTAAGACGAAGTGGTTGAAAATTTAGATCTTCTGCAATTTTTTTTGCATGAATAGTTTTGTAAATAGAGTTAAAAAAAAGGTGTAAATGAGTAAGATTGATAGCAACTTGAAGTCGATTTTGAAATGTATATGGTGAAATAGTATAATAAGATTAAAAAATTTTTTTATAATTGAGTTTTGTGAAGAATATAATAAGAAATTTAGAGAAAATAAGTTTTAAGGTATTAATTAAAATTTTTGTAGAAATTGGGATATAATATCAATTGATGAATTAATTTTATCAATTAAGTCTATCAAGAATTTAGGTTTTTGCTCTGTCATATTTTTTAATAAATAATCAAAAGAGTATTTAAAAGTAGATTTAATATCTGGGTTTTAGAAGGAATAGTTTTTTCAGGTATGAATTGAATTAAGTTGGGTTTAAGAAACTCAAATAATTGTTGAAAAAATGGAGTATTAAGTTTTGAATTGGGTCCTATTTTTTTTATGACTAAAAATAATTTAAACCAATCAAGATTTTGAAAGATATCATATTTTTTGTTGTTGAGATTTGGTCTTCTTTTTAGAAAATTTAGATAAAATTTTTTTAAAAAGTTTCAATTTTTCAGTTTTGTTAAGTAAAATAAATTTGGATATATATGCCATTTTTTTTTATTTTTAAGTTAAAGTTTTAGTTTGAGGAAGATGAAATAATTTAATATCAATAATTCTATAAATATGATTACAATGAATAAGTCAAGTCCTAAAAAGAATTGCTGTAGTATAATCTGGTAAATATTTATTTTCTTGAAAAAGAATACAAAAAATTTTTGATATTACATAAAACACATGTATAAACATGTTGAGAATGAGGAATAATAGCAGTTGGTGTAGGATTGGTATTGAATGAAAGAAAAAGAATAGTAGAATTAGGAAATTGAGTTAAAAGTTGTTTGATAATAGAAGATGCAGGTAGAGTATCACTAATTTTTTCAAAATGTTTAATAGAGATAATTGAAGAGGTTTGTATATTAAAGAGACCAAGAGTAGTAAGCTAAGTAATTTTATAGAAGCGAGTAGTAAAATTTGTATAAAATTAACTGCATAAACATGTGCCAATAGTTGGTTGAGTAAGAACTTTGAAGTAATGTTATTTTTTTTTAAGACTTTTATATTAATTAGGATTAACATCTGATAGAAGAACATAGAGTGATTTGGAAGTTTCCTCATTCATACCAAGTCTATGATGGGCTCTATATTTAGAGTAATAATAATTCAATTATAGGAGTCTGGTTTAGTTGTTGTAAGAGTAGGCATTTTTAGGATAATTTGTTAAATAAAAGTTGTAAATATATGATTTTATAAGAGTAATAGACAAATACAGGGTTTAGATATATAGTATAGTTTAATATAAGTTTGTGTAATTTTTTTAATAAGATATTACAAAATTATAATTTTAATAAACTAGAATAGTGGATATAACTAAATATTAGTCACCAATATAGTATAGTATTAATACAGAGTACAATTTTGATATAAAATTAATTAGAACCAAATATAGAAAAGAGTAGATTGTATATTAAATAAGATTCTATTTAAGGATATATTAGTAAATTTAGTGTAAATTTAATTAAATATAATTTAAGAAGTGATCTGATGTCATACAAAAAATGTGTAAGGATAAGCAGACCAAAATAGAGATAAAAAGTAAAAAAAAAATTATAAGAGAATAAAAATTAAATTTGACTGTAATTTAGTCAATATTTAGTCAAAAATCTTCGTTTAGAGCTTGTTTTGACTAGAAAAGTGTACTTTACACTTTTACTTAAGAATGTAAAGTAAGTTGTGACAATAGCTTTTGTGTAATAATTAAAATTGTAAATTCTGAAGGCTAAAGGCTGTTAGTACATTTTTTTCAATGTGTTTAAATCCTAAAGACTTGAAACTTTTAAGATAAATTTAAAATTTAATACTGAATAAGTTTATTTAAGAACTAAAAGTAAGTTAATTTAGTAAAATAAATAGTTATAAATGTTTTTGTACAGACAAATTTTTAGTTAAGATTTGTATAAAGGATTTGCAAAAAAGTTCTAGCTAACTTGAAATAGATAAATACAAATAAATATTTAAAAATTAGAAACTATTACAAAATTATATATATATTATAATTCTAATGCAAAAAAAAACTTTCTTAGTTTGCAAATAAAATAACTGAAAATAAAGTTTTAAAAATCTTAAATCAAACAAATATTGAAAATTTTAAAAAATATTAAAAGAAGAAAAATTAAATAAATATGATTTATTATTATATAATGAATTAAATTATAATAAAATTAGTAAAATGTCTAAAAATAAATTAGTTTTATTTTTAAAAACAAGTTTAGATTTAGAATATAAAATTTTTATTAATAATTTAGAAAAATTTTTTGATAAAAAAAAGGATAAAAATTTATTATTAGAAATAAATAAAATAATAGAAAATATTAAAACTAATAAAGTTTTAGAAGATATTACTCAAATTTCAGAACAAAATGATTATAATTAAGAACCTGATACTTTTTAATTTCAGATAATAATTAATAAATAAATTTAAATAAATATTTATTTAAGATTTTTAGATTAATTTTTTATAAAAATTATATATTTTAGAATTTAATTAAATAAATATAATTAAAAAATACTTTATTAAATAAAAAAATAGAAGGACTCTTTTCTGTAAATCTTTTTTTTAATAAACAAATAACGAATTGCAACTAGACACACTTAGAATTTTATAATTAAATAATTAAAAACAACTTGAAATAATAACAACAAACAAAGTTACTAAAGATTAAACAAAGTAAAAAAAACAGTCTTCTGCACTTCTGTCCTATTCACAACTTTGTTGCTAACTATATTAGCAACTAAAGTAAACAATAATAGTAATAAAAAAACAACAACAAAACACACATAGCTGAAATTCAAAAAAAAATATGACCTGTTTATATATATACTAATAACAGCAATATGATAAGTAAACAAAGTAAAAAAAAAAAGTGAAAATACTAATTTATACTATTATTCCAGTTCAAACAAATATATAACTGAAAAAAAATTTTAAAAAAAAAGAAATTCTAGCTTAATCCTAAATTTTTAAGGTATGACATTATTAATAAAGATGAAAACAACAACAAATTTAATTTTGAACTTATATCAACTAATAGAAAAAAATATTTATATAGATTTACAAAATAGCTAAAGCCTAATCTAGGTCTCTATTACAACCAACATAATTTTTCCTACACAAGAACAAAATAGAATGTAAACAAACTAATTTAGCCAAAACTAGCCTTTAGACCTAATACACATACAAATGATGATACAAATAAACAAATACCAGATATAGAAGTAAACCAAGATACAACAAACACAGATTTACAGATAAATTAGTCTGAGCTTTTATTCTTGCATATAATTTTCAATTTATTTGTTTTGTATAAATAGTAGTAGCTGTATAGTTAGTAGTTTAATAGTTAGCCCTAACTGCAAGTGTTAGTCTTGACCATAGCACATATATATGTAACTATTTTAAATTATTAATAAAGATATAAGCAAGGCCTCACCTTATTACCAAAAATAAAAAAAAAAACAACAAACACAGATAATAAAAAAGACAAAACATATTTAATAGACACAATATTAGATGAACAAATACAAAATAGATATTTTATAGTCAGACAGTTACTAAAAGCCTTCAGAAAGAAACAAAAAAACTTTAAACAACTTTAATAATAACAGAGAAAAAGAATAATATAAGCATGCACAGTTAGCTCTAAAAGAAATTAGACAAAATAGACTAAAGTCTTTTAATATAACAACCTGAACTAGGCCAAAAATTAAAGATGCATTAACCTCATATAATGACATCAAAGAATTAATTAAATACAAACTTTTTATAAAAATAATGACAAATTATATTTCAAAAGCAATTACAACAAATTTGTTCTATAGAGATATAGTATTTTTTATAAGCTTTACATAAATCACTGCAATCAGACTACAACATCAAACAGAATTTAATAATTTGTTTACAGAAGCTCTAGACATCTATAAAAAACACCATGATGTACTAGCAATAAACAAAAAAAAATTAGGACAAAATTTTTGAACTACTACAAATTAAACTAGTAACAGATTATTTAACTAATTTAATAAATGCATAGAAGATTACAAGATATATCTTTTATTTAACAAAATTTGCAAAAATTTTATAGCAACTAAATTTTGAAATAACCAGAAAAATAGTATCAAGTCTTATTAATAAGACACTAATACTATTGTCTTCAGAACCTACCTCAATTTTTAGTTACCTAATAAAAGCTATCTCTTTTAGGCTATTTATTTCAAATTGTTAAATCATTGCACCTGTAGCCAAGACTTTACATCTAATGTTTTTATTTGATAAAATCTCTAAAACATATATCTCAGATAATTATGAACTTCTATCAGATTTATATAAACTTCTAAATAATGAAGTATGCAACATATTTCCTATCATAAGCAAAGCAGACTTGCAAAATCTGATCCAATACAGAGAAACCCTGCAGAAGTTTTATATTTTTTAACAAATTCTATCTAGCTACTTTAAGCTATTAGCATCTAAAAGCCAACTACCTTCTACTCTATAAAACTTAACTTTTAGACTAAAAAAAAGTTTCTTTTTTTATCTAAAAATCAAAAAGACTTCAAAGAATATGTTAAACTTTTCTATATAGTTTACACATTTACAAGACTACCAAATAACTACATTATCTTACACAGACAACTATCTTAAAATCCTGCAGACTTAAGAATGTCAGACCTCTCTTTTCCTTTATAAACTGCAGAAAAAGTCAACTTATTCATTAAAAAGATGCCACCTATATACAGCATTCCAACACTATTACCAAAAAAAGACCATGATTTTAATTATACAAAACTTTCAGACCTACTAAAAGATGCCAAACTGGTTATGACAGTAAACTTAACTTTACTGATCTTAACTTTCAAAGAGCTAAGCTTTGCAGTCAAAGCACTACATAAACAAACTATCTTTTGTAATTAAAAAACTGTAACAGATACTAGTAAAAAAAAAATTAACAATATAAATATTCTTATCAAAAAATATTACGATATTCTTTTAGTTTTGGAAACTCTTTAACAAAATTTTTTTTATTACACAGTACAAGAATATATATTCAATCTCATAAATTTATCTGAGCTATTCTTTAACATTTTTTTATTTTTTTTTTTAAATATTAACAGTGAGGCCATACCTTTAACTTTATTGAAATTCAATTGAAGTTTTTACAAAGAAAAGCTTGCTTTTAAATTACATATGAAGAATAAAGACTCAGACATATAATCTGCAACCTAAACCTAATTCTTTAACATTTTTGAAAACAAAGAGATAACAAATACAATACTAAAGACATAAATATTTGCAATAGAAGAAGACTTCATAATATCAGACTTATAAGCATACATCCTAATGCAAACATTCTACAATCAGTAGAAAATATGAACAAATTAAACCTATATGAATTTAATATAAATGAAAAAATCAATATTACTATTTACAATATTGGAGGCATTAATGATATACTAAAAATGCAAATCTGGATTAAACACTATACTGAATTAAGCTTACATATAATCTTTTTTACTGAAACCAAGCTAAAGGACTTAATAATAAAGTTACTAACTAATTCTTTATATAAAATCTATACCTTAAACTTTGTATCATACAAACCAAACCAACATGAAGCTAGTTTGAAAACTGCTTTAATGGTTTGCAATCAATTATAACCATATATTTACAAAATCAACACCTTTTTTTTCTAATGACAACAAATCTCATATTATTTCAATTTATCTTCAAATTATCTATCACTCTTAAAAAATACCCAATCTTAATTACTTACCTGGATTACAGAGCTAGAGCTAGAAACTGGCATCTAATCATATTAGATGATTTTAATACTAATTAACTCAAAGACAAATACCTTTTAATATTCACAAATCTAAATGCTGTCAACCTAACAAGTCTACTAGTCTTTTATAATATTTAAACACCAATATGGCATAGCCCAACTTCTGCTAGCCAAATCAATAATTTTTGGATCTTATCAGATATATTACTAGCATTTGAACCTTTATCTTTAATTGATACTTCTTACATCTTAAGTAGTGATTATTGCATCCTAAATACAACTTGGTACACAAATTTTTTATTATAAAAAAACTCTAGAAAAAAAAGAAAAAAATATATATATTTGTTTAAAAAAATAACATCAGAGGACTGAAGAAACTTTGAAGATTCACTTAATATCTGCTTTAACCTACAAAATAACTAATATCAAACATGAACAAAAATAATATAAACAAAATATAGAACTTCTGAGCAGTGAAAATTAAAGAAAAAATAAATAAACATATTCCATATATACTTACTGCTTTTAAACTATTCTTTGCACTTTTACTAAAAGCAACCAAACAGTATTATGTTCTAAAAATATTAACAAATATTTATACTACTTCTTAGATAACTTATTAAATGACTTAACTAGAATAAACTACCTCCTATCAAAGGCAGCTACTCTTGCAGAAATAAATATTACACTAATCACACAAATCTTTCTTTATTTGATTTCATAACACAGATAAAGCAATACAAGCACACAATATGGCAAGCATGAAATTTTAAAAAAAAGTAAAAACAAAGTGAAAGAATCAAGTTTTACACAAGCTAAAAATATTCAAACTTCAAAATAATACTAGTCATATGCTAGACAGTATTCTTAAAAGAAGAGTAGAACCAGTAAACTTTGAAAAAATTATATTCTTTAACAAGATAATACTTACAAGAATAAAATTAAAAAAGCCACATATCTATATTTTAAAAACTGAACCAAAGAAAATCTATCTAATAATACTATCTGGAAGAATTAAGAATCAATATACAATCTACTTAACAATATTAAAAGCAACATCTATAACAACTTTCTGTTTCAAATTACCTTAGCTAAACTTGAACAAACTATAAAAGAAGCTTCTAAAAGAAAAGCAACAGGACTGCTAGGAATTGCAAATGAGGTTTTTTAACATCTACTATTATTAGCCCTCCTATTACTATTAGAAATATTTAACAAATGCTTAATACAAAAATGCATCTCTGATTAGTTGCTACAATCCAATATTTGGCCAATTTCAAAAAAGCAATATTATAACTATAACCTTAACTTCATATGACTGATAATATTAATTGATCATATTAGAAAAGTTTTTACAAAGATTCTAACCACCAGACTAACAAATATTATAGTTCAAAAACAAATACCCTATTTATACAATTTTGCAGCTTTGTCTTATCAATCTATATTACAACCAATCTTTTAACTTACTCAAATTTTGAGAATGCAATTACAAATAAGAAAGAAGTCTAAATTCTCTCACAAAATATATCAAAAGCCTTTGACTCAATTTACATATCCACCTTATACAAAGCACTCAAAAGAATTCATATAT